TGTGTTACCTATGAGCAATATGCTATGTGCAGAAATATACAATGTGTGGCTTGTGCTTCCTTAGGAGCTACCTGCAAGAATAAAAGCATTAAAAACATCTGTAATTATACCTGGGAGCTTTAAATGGGGTGGACGTCCTGGGCTCACTACTGTAGGGCTGAGGGAAGGGACATCATGTGGCCCTCACACCTGTTCATGATGAGAATGGGACCTCTGGAATTGTACAGTGCATAGCATGCACAACAGCACATGGTTGCCCTGTATGATAGGCAAGGAGATCAAGAATGCCAGAGAGGGAAGAGCTGATATACAGTTGATTCATTGCATAGCATGGAGATATTTAAAACTACTCTCTCAGATGTATCCAGTACTCTGGGATCAGTAGATGGAGGTCTCATCTTAAAAGGCAGCATAGCAGAATGGGTAAATAACATATGTCTTACAAACTTAAAGAAAGGAAGGAAGATAATTAAAAAAGAAGCCAACATCTGCCTCACAAGTGCAAGGGCCCAAGTTCGATCCCCGGCACTAAAAACAAACAAAAGAAGACAAAACTGAGAGTAAAGGGACATGGAATAAATGAGATGAATAAAAAACAAATGGCAAGTCATGAGATACAAACCCAAATGTGTCAGTAATTACATGAAATGTCAGTGGATTAAAAAACACCAAGTTTACTCCCCTGGGTGAAAAACAAAACAACTATGTGCTGCTTGCAAAAATATACCTTAGATATAGGAACTATATCAAAAAACTAAAAGTCAAAGAATGGAAAAAGACACCATGCAAACGTGAACCAAAAGAAATTCAACACAGCTATACTAACATCAAACAAATAACTAAGGCAAGAAGTAGCACTACAGAAAAAAAGACATTGCTCAGTGACAGAAGGGCTTATCTCCCAGGAAGACACCAGAGTTTTAACTTTCTCTGCATCTAATCACACAAAGTGTGTAAAGCAAAACTCGACAGACCTGTGTGGAACTCACAAACGCACAATCAAAACTGGAGGCTTTTACATGCTTCTCACAGGAGTTAATGACAAGTAACACTAATAGTAACGAAGAGGCAACAGATGTTTATAGATTAAAAAGTCCATAAGAATATAGACCTGTATGCAACCACTGCCTAACTGCTATACAAAGAACAATGTACTCAAAAAAAAAAAAAAAACAAGCAGAATATGTTTTTCAGAACACATGGAAAATTTGCTAAAATAGATCTAATGCTTAGCTATAAAGGGAACTCTCAAGAAATTTCAAAAGAGCAGAATTACTATACAGAGTATGTTTCTGACCATGGTGTAGTTTAACTAGAATTCAACAATAAAAAATATTACCACAAAATCCACAAATACTTACAAATTAGGCAATGTAGTCATGAGTGACAGAGCTTATTAACAAGAACAATAATGATCAGACATGGCCCATGCCTTCTGGTAGGAGAGAAGAGATGCACACGTAAATAACTGCCACACAGAGCATAATGTGGCCACTGTATTAATGATACAAGGAAATGCTACGGATGAGCTCAGCCTGGAAACAGTCACGTGTCCTCTGAACTAGGAGGACAGGTGCTTGGGGAAGTTCTCCTTGGAGTAGAGTCAAAAGAACAATACTAAAAAAAAAAAAAAAAACAAGCAGAATATGTTTTTCAGAACACATGGAAAATTTGCTAAAATAGATCTAATGCTTAGCTATAAAGGGAACTCTCAAGAAATTTCAAAAGAGCAGAATTACTATACAGAGTATGTTTCTGACCATGGTAGAGTTTAACTAGAATTCAACAATAAAAAATATTACCACAAAATCCACAAATACTTACAAATTAGGCAATGTAGTCATGAGTGACAGAGCTTATTAACAAGAACAATAATGATCAGACATGGCCCATGCCTTCTGGTAGGAGAGAAGAGATGCACACGTAAATAACTGCCACACAGAGCATAATGTGGCCACTGTATTAATGATACAAGGAAATGCTACGGATGAGCTCAGCCTGGAAACAGTCACGTGTCCTCTGAACTAGGAGGACAGGTGCTTGGGGAAGTTCTCCTTGGAGTAGAGTCTTTTAGGCTAGATCTTGAAGAACAGGAAGAGCATGATTATGCAAAAACTGGAGAAAGAGGCAGTTGATACAAGAAAAGCAAGGTAACAGGCTGGGCATGGTGGCGCACACCTGTAATCTCAGCACTTGGGAGGCCGAGACAGGAGAACTACTGTGAATTTGAGGCCAACCTAGACTACATAGTGAGTTCAAGCCCAGCCTGAACTACATAGCAAGACCTTGTCTCAAGAAAACCAAAAAAAGAAAGAAAGAAAATAGTATAACAAGTATAACAGCTGAGGACAAGGGCAAGAGTTATCAAGGAATAATACGGCGCCATTTAATTTGACTGTTTGCCGGGAGTGCTGAGGAGTAAGGTGGGAAAGGAAAACACGGAAGGTGCTAAGGGGCTCTGAGTGCCCGGCCTAGGTGGTCAGGGTGTTATTCCGAGGTCCCCAGGGGAGTCAGAGAAGAGTTCTGAAGGGAAGGCAATCTAGCAGGAAAATGTGAGATGGACCAAAGCTGGGTAGCCGGCAGCGAGAGAGGGAGAGGAGAGCTAAAACCTTAGCAGTGCCAAGGAACTGGGGGTGGTGGGGGGAGGAGCAGTAGAAAAACCCAAGCTTCCCTCTCCCTCCCAACACAGCCACCCACATCCTTCATGTAACAGCAGCCTAACAATGCATTGAAATCACTACCTAATTGCTCCTTTCAAAGTTAATGCTTCAAAATGGGGAAGTGTGTGTTTAATGTTTAGTCTCATCTCCACCACCCAAGCCCCAATTTAAAAGCCAAATCTGCTTTAAAATAGAATGAGTTAAATCCCCTAGACACAGCTCAGACCCTCTGAGTCCCACCCACGTTTTCCTTCTCTGTGTATTTCTGTGTGTCTCGCCTCCTGGGCAGGAGACCTGGGCCCTCTCTTGATGGATTCCCAAACAGTTCCCAGGAGCTTCGTTCCCAGCCTCCTGGGAAGAGCTCAGCAGTCCTGAGCCCAACGGACTGGAGAGAGCCTCGAGGCACCACTGTGTTTCTGCCCACTTCACGTCCACAAGCCCTCCCTCTGCATTGGTGCACTCCAGGTCACTGGTCCACACTCAGTTACAGAGGACCTTCTTGCTCTCCCCTCTCCTGCAACTGTAGCACACGTTGGATGTGGCTTCCTCGGCCTACAAGCTCCTCCCCTAGTGAACCCTCAAGAGTACTTCACACCTCAGGCGATGTCCTCCAAGCTGTAACTTCTCTGTAGCTCCACTGACACAGAACCACAGTGGAGCGGAGGCATTCAGACACCCAAACCCACCACCTCCTCCTCAGCCAGCTCCTTTCCAACTCTCCTGCTTCTAACTACTGCTTAGGGCTCCCCCACCCCCAATGAACCTGATTTCCCTAACATCCTTGGTGACGAAGAGCACAGTTCCTTTCCTGAAGCTAGGAAAAGTTTCTGTCTGCAGCATTCTGTTTGCCTCTCCCACTTCTGCAGAACAAGCCTAGTCAGCTCAGTCCTGGTTTTCTTGTCTTCAGCCTCAAGCCTGTATTCTGTGGCTTAACTAGAACTTTCAAATCACAAAACCTCTCTGGTTTCCTTATTTCCATTAGGACGATAATAGCATGTGCATTGAGGTTTTTATAAATGAACAAGATAACTTTGTAAATCACTTTGCATGGGGCAAAAACTTAGTAACTATTAGCTGCTATCATGATTTTGATTGTGGTTATTTCAAGCCCTGGCCCGAACCCTGAGCTTGTGCTCATTTATCTAGGGCGTGCTGGATGTGTTCCCTTGACACCCTGCGTCAGCACGAGGAGTACACAGAGTTAGAAAAACGCCAGCCTGAGGATGGCACTCCAGATATTCTACGCACCTGGCGCAGTGGCTGCCTTCTTACCTGAGTCTATCCATCCTACCAACTACCCCTATAATAGGTATCATTCTTTTTACTTGTAAAATGAGAAAGTGGGGATTCAGAGAAAAAATGAAGACTCCCACGACATTTATAGAACTGATGAGTGATGGGCTGCAGGTCGGAACCCTGGTCTGTCTTGCGCTAGAACACACTGCTGCCTGCGTGCTGAAGTCTGCGGCGCTACAGGTAGGAGATACTCAGAGAAGTAGCAGGGAACTGAGTCAGCTGTTAAAAAGGCCTGGAGACCTGTGTGGTCCATTCATGTGATCAGCGAGTAGTTTCCAATAAGGAGTGAACTGTTTCTCCTGCTGTTCCCTTTACCCGGGCTCCCCTGGGAGAAGAGCACGCCAGGAGGTCTCATTCTCCCCTAAAGCTGAAATGCATAGTTTGAGATGCTTTTGGCTGGCACTGATGGTCCCTGGCTGGACTCAGGAACAAGTGAAGAGAAAGTGACAAGTTGCAAGGGAAAGATGCGGTCAAGAAGAGTGGAAAAGGTTGCCTTGCATATGAAAGGAATGACTATAAAGTATTTTACATTGCCATGGCAACTGGCACCATTACATTGCAACAAAATGTATATTGTTTTCTATCTTTAATTCAAATAAAGCTTATAATAAAAGTTTAAAGAAAAGAGGGAAAAAGAGGTGGAGATGGTGCACACTGATGATGGTCTGGGGAGTCCTATGCTCCATGGGAATCTTGCTTAAATTTCCAGCTTCCTGGCCCCTCTTGGGGGTCTCTTCTTCCCTGAAGATCCCTAAAGGGCAAAGCCCATTTTCACGACCTAAATGTAGCAGAACCCAAGCACAGTGCTCTTCAGATTTTAATGTGCTACTAAATGCCCTGGGCATCTTGTTGAGATGCAGACTCGGAATCAGGAGGCCCCTGGAACCTGAGATTCTGCATTTTGAACAAGATCCAGGTGATGCTGCTGGTCCACAGACCACACTGGGCAGAAGGGGGACCTCACAGCCCTCCGGGTCCCCTTTAGCTTAGGACCCCAAGAATTCTGCTGTTTGGACACACTACCTGCTGTGTTTTTCTTCCTAGATAATGAAAATGCCACGTGCGTGGAGCCCACGGAGCTGGCAGGGTGGCCCATCACACGAGTGGGGAACCCACTTCGGTACATGTGCCTCACGCACCTGGACCGCCGGGACTACATCTTCCTGCTGCTCATCGGCTTCTGCATCTTCGCCGTAGGCACGGTGGCTGCCTGGCTCACCGGCATGTGCGCTGTGCTCTACCAGAACACCCGCCGCAAGGCGAGCGAGGATGAGGCCGACGACGAGGCGGGGCACGGAGCGGAAGTCACCAGGCGGATTTTTCACACCAAGGAAAAGTCGGGCCAGGGTGGGTTCCCTCAGCTGATTTAGCTGCCAGAGACCACCGCTGTGACTTCCCCAGCTCCCGCCTCTCTCTCCCTCCCCACATCACCACCGCTGAAATATTAGACCATGAAGCCTCCCGGTAAAATAAACAAAATGGTGATGGCTTCCGAGGTTGTCCTTTTCTGTAGCACCAAGTCTAGAAAAATCATTGGATGCATCTAAATGCCAAGGAAGCCCATCCCAAATCAAGTCAACCCATGTTTAGTGGCCACCAACTATGTCCCCAAACTAAGTGCAGGAGGGAAGGATACAAGAAATACAAGATTAAGAAATTCCTCCAACAGCAAACCTTCTGGCGGGGAAAGCAAGATTAAGACCCATCTCCATGGGCCATCTGTGCATGCCAGCTTACTGTCAGTGTGGCTTAATGGTGAGAAAACGAGGCCTGGACGGCTGAGACAACTGGCCTGGTGACCCAAATGGTAAACAACACAGCTCCCAAAAGACCCCATTCCCCCTTCACATCAACCTGCCTCCCTAGAAAACAGCAACTCAACCAAGAGCTTATCATAGAAGCTTTGCTCAAAACAAAGGTGTAAGGCATGCAGGGACAACCACATTTACTGAGTGCTTACCAACTGCCCAGAATCACATCCCGCTTTGGACTTCCTCACTGCATTCACCCTCACAACAGCCAAGTCAGGGGCTACCTTCACATGCTGAGGTTTAGAGATGTTTGGTAACCAGCTAAAGATCGCACAATGGATAAGAAAAAACTGGAGCAACTGCTGAATGCTAGGCTGCCTGACACCAAGGCCAGAGGTCTGTGCTTTATGAACTGCTATCTAGAACAGCCCAGTGCACACGGGCACAGCCCAGCTCTCCAAGCTGGTCTGAGGGAGGAAAAGGGCATGGGCAAGAGGAGTGGCCCAACCCGGGCCAAACATCCATTTCCTTTTTCTCTCTACCCAGATCAAATCATGACCACATTAAAGGAGCAAATCAAAGTTCTCACCTTTGAAGCTAGCTGTTCCTAACACCTCAACCCACTGCGAACTGCATGTGGTCTCAGACACTTGCTCATAGCTAAGACACAATACCTGACACCTGCAATTTAAGGGAGGAGAGGTTGAATTTGAGAGATGCAAATTAAAACAACACTGAAATCCAACCTCACCCCAGAAAGCATGGCATTACCAAGAAATCATCCAATAACAAATGCTAGTGGGGCTACGGGAAAAAAGGAATCGTTCTCCACTGTTGGTGAGAGTACAGACTGTACAACCATTGTGGAAATCAGTATGGAGATTCCTCAGAAAACTAAAACTAGAGGTTCCATTTGACCCAGCTATTCCCCTTCTTGGTATCTTCCTAAAAGAATTAAAAGCATCACACCACAGTGATACATGCACACCTATATATATATAGCAGCACAGTTTGTAATAGCTAAATCTTGGAAACAGCCCAAATGACCATCAGTGGACAAATGGATAAAGAAGACATGGTAAATAAAGTACTATTCTGCCATAAAGAAGGATAAATTTGAGACACTTCTGGGTAAATGGATGCACCTTAAGACCATACTCTTAAGTGAAATAAATTGAACGTTCATGTTTAATACCAAATTCTCTGGTATGAGAAACTAAGAGTGAAAATGAAGACCAAAATGTACAACAGATATTGAGAAATGGGAAGAAAATATTCAAATGAGGAGAACAAGGGAGAGGGGAAGGGAAGAAGGGACAAGAAAAGAATAGAAGGGAATATAGAAACAAAGCTTTTGTAAGTAAGGAGGGGAAGAGAGGTCAAAGGGAGGGAGGATGGGAAAAAAGAAGAGGCAAGATACATCATCTACAGGTACAAATTTCCTATGATGAATGTTATCACTATGTACATATAAAATGTACCAATAAATATTTTGCTTCAAAATACAGGGTCTTGCTGTACTGCCCAGGTTGCCTTTGAACTCCTGGGCTCAGGGATCTTCCTGCCTCAGCCTCCCCCATGCTGAGATTATAGGTATATACTGTCGCACATGGATGCCCCTCAATATTCTCTGTTTATGCATATAGGATAGTGCCTCACACAGAATAAGCGCTTGTTATTGTATTCTACTTAAATACCAACCCACTAAGCATTCCTACCTTGTTATCCTGAAACAAGAAGTAAATGTGAACAAGTTATTTAACTTCTGTGTGCCCCAGTTTCTTCATCTATAAGGTAGCCATGACAGTACCTATATCACACAGAGAAATTGAGAATAAAATGAATATTGATTTATAAGACCAGTTTCATGAGCTTTTTACTATGGAATAACTTTAGACTTATAGAAAAGTCACAAAGATAGCACAGAGTTCTCATATATCCCTGTCCAGCTTCCCTTAAAGTTACCTTACAACATGGTGAAATATAGGGGTCCAGTTTTAATCTGTGGCACATTGAAATCCAGTTTTCCAACACCATTTATTAAAGAAGTTATCTTTCCTCAGCTCCTTTGTCAAAGATGAGGTAGCTGAGTACATCTGGAGTTGTTTTTGTGTCTTCCAATCTGTTCCACTGATCCTCAGGTCTGTTTCTTTGCCAGTACCATGCTGTTTTTATCACAGTGGTTTTGTAGTATATTTTCAAATTGGGACTTGTTATACCCGCTGCCATGTGTCTGTTGCCTAGGATGGCTTTTGCTATTCTAGGTCTCTTATGGTTCCAAATGAATTTTTGGATTTTTTCTAGTTCTGTGAAATATAGTGTTGGAATTTCAATTGGCATTGCATTGAATCTGTATAGCAGTTTTGGTAGTATGGCCATTTTCTCTATGTTGATTCTTCCTACCCAGGAGCAGGGGATATCTTTCCATTTTTTTATATCCTCTTCAATTTCTTTTTTTCAGAGTGCTATAGTTTTCAGTGTAGAAATCTTTTGCTTCTTTTGTTAGATTAATTCCTAGATACTTCATTTTTTTGGATGCTATTGTGAAGGGAATTGTTTCCCTAATTTCTCTCTCAGTGAGTCTGTTATTTGTGTACAAGAAGGCTATTGATTTTTGGGTGTTCACCTTGTATCCAGCTACTCTACTGAATCTGTTGATTAAGTCTAGAAGTCTTTTGGTGGAGTTTTTTAGTGGTGATTTTTTTAGTGATTTAAAATCACTAAAGAGGAGGGCCAGAGCCGCACAGAGCTAGGCCTCTACCCCACTCCCAGAGCCCCTGCAGCATCACCCTGGCTCTGCTCCCCCCTGCCCCACTGCTCAGGCCTCCTGGCTGTGCCAGTACCTGGATCCATACCACAGAGCACAGGGCATTATAAAGGCCATTGTACTAAGCTCCAAAAGATAGAGCAGAAGCAAACAACAGAAAGAGGGCCTCTCTCAACCTCCTTGATGAAGACTGAAGCCCACTGGAAAAGTAAAGAGAATCTCTGCACCAGAGGCACACCAGATCACCGAGGTTGGTAAGTTGGGGGGGTCCGGCACCTCCCATCATAACCTGGCCTATCTTCAGGGAAAGGGCAGCTGGAACCTACAGTAGAACCTTGCAGAGTTCAACCCTACAAGAGGCAAGGGAGCTCAAGTTGGGCCTTGCAGACAGAAATCAGCCTGAATCTCAAGGGAAGGGAAGGGGGGAAGGGAATGGGGAAAGGGAAAAGAGGAAAGAGGAAAGAAGAAAGGAAGAAAGGAGAGAGAGGGGGAGGGAAGGAGGAAGGGAGAAAAAGGGGAAGAGAGGGGCAGGAGAGAGGGAGGGGAGAAAAGAAAGCTGACTCTGGCAGGACAGTGAAACAGAAAGCAGTGGGAGGAGAGAGAGGACATGAAGAGACCTGCAGTAGGGCCCTAGTCTAAAGAGAGATGAGGGTAAAATACCAAGGGCAGGGGTTTTATACCTAGCTACGCAGGTTGGGGAGGACAAATGGAGGGAGAACCAGGAAAAAGAGGATGGAGCCAACCACTTACTGGTCCAATTATTTAAATACAGGATGACCAAAATATATTTTCATTAATTTTTATAAGGTACTATGACAGGAAATATAAAAATGACAATTTTTGTCAAATTTATTTAACAATTTTTCTGTGTATGGTGCATCTTAAAACATTAAATACACAATGCAACATTACAATCTGGACAGCAGTAGCTAGTCTCTTTCTGAAATTTTTGTATTTTTGTCCCTTTGAACAACACATTTTACACTGTCCTGTTGGCCTTTTGCTGCAGGTACTATGATTTCAATCCATTGTCCACCCATTAACCAGAATGGTGAAGACATCAATGATGGATTCCTGGCTGGCACTTCACCACCCTGTACTTTTCAATTATTTGGTCTATTGGACTTAAACTAAATTGTGAATGGCTTTTTGGACCCCCTTGTTTTGAATAAATAACAAATGAGTTCCATAGTTTGGTCTAGAAGGTGCATAAATACTTTTATAACATTTTGCTGACTTTTTGATTATAGAGTAGCTTGATAGATGATCAACTTTGTCAACACCATGCATAGAATTATTAGAGTCATAAACCACTTTTGGAATTTTTTAGCTTCATTTCTTACTTCAAGTTCTGTCATTTTTGTATTATGAATAGTTAACAATAAGGGGATATCCGATCCACCGCGGGAAGGAGAGCCACACCTTCTCCCTGCTGGGCAGCCATCTCTCCAGCGCTGGGAGGTAGCCTGGGCCCCAATCCACCTCGGGAAAGAGAGCCCCGCCTTCTCCCGCCCCAGCTGCCATCGCTTGAGCGCCGGGAAGGTAGCGGACCCCCACCCACCACGTGCGCACTCTCAGACCTCCTGACTGTGCCAGTCTTTGGACACACTCTGCAGAGGCAGAGGTGGTCTGCTGGGCAGCCATCTCTCCAGCGCTGGGAGGTAGCCTGGGCCCCAATCCACCTCGGGAAAGAGAGCCCCGCCTTCTCCCGCCCCAGCTGCCATCGCTTGAGCGCCGGGAAGGTAGCGGACCCCCACCCACCACGTGCGCACTCTCAGACCTCCTGACTGTGCCAGTCTTTGGACACACTCTGCAGAGGCAGAGGTGGTCATCAAGGGTAACATGAGAAACTGAAAAAATGCAAATAAAGTGTTTGTAAATGGGGAGGGAAGGAGGGGGTGAAGGGAGGGCAGGGACAAGGGGAAGAAATGAGAATCAAGACCTGTCATGTAAAGGTACAGAATCCCAATGATGAATGT